TTGGATTTAATTTGAGTACAAAACATGCATTTAAACAACAGAAATAATTTTCCAATTATTTTTGTTACACACTGTATGTCTCACCATTTAACCAAGTAGCTTTGGATATAGTTGCAAACCCACCTTTGCCTATCTTTTCAATATTTGATAGATCATTATAAGGAATCCATTGAAGATAATAATAATTATTATATCTTGTTGCTTTAAGTTGTGTACTTTTAATTAACTCATCTAATGTTTCATTGCCAGTAGTCCATCCTTCAGTTAATAGTTTTGGATCACATGATTGACACCATGAATCATTAGTATTATATCTATTGCAGATTGGACATTCACCACATTCTTCATCTCTTTCCTCTGAATATTCATCATCATTATTTTTGTCAATAAAAGTATCATCATGGTATTTATTTTTATCCAAAGTGTTTTCCATTTCTAAAATTTATTTGTGTTTTTTATTTTATTTGTAAAATTTGTCAAAAAAATTTTTTTAAAAAGAACTTTTTTCAGTCACAAACGGTATATAACACACGAGTGGAAACACAATAAAAAAAAATTAATTTAATTTATTTTGTGTATCTAAATTACGGCAATCGGCATTAAATAAATTCGACACGACATCCTAAAGTCGTAAAAATCGTAAAGCGTAAAATCGTAATGCCGTGATTGTTTACAGCCTGTAGATATTGCGAGCGTGCAATCCGAATTGTTCATTGCAAAGTCACCAAATTTGGCATCTGGCATAAGCCAATAATGTTCAAACTAAACTAAAATCACTATATACAACTATAATACTTGAGTAAGCTTTCTATTCAAATAAAGTTTATTCGAATAATTTGTTTTATTCGTCATATGAATGAGCATTCGAATTACATTGAGAATTTATTGGAATAAAACGAGTAATTTGAATGAAACGAATAAAACGAATAAAATGAGTTATTTCGAAAAAAACGAATGAAACTAATGAAATTGAATGAAACGAATAAAACGAGTAATATATAAAACAAATAATTCAAATAAAGCAAATAATTCAAATAAAATGAATAATTTCGAATAAAATGGATGAAACTAATGAAATGAATAAGATGAATAATTCGAATAAACGAATTAAACGAATAAAATGAATAATAATAATAATAATAAGCGAATAATTCGAATAAACTAATACTAATACTAATACTAAAACAAATAATTCGAATAAACGAATAATTTGAATAGAAATGAATTAACTTTTAAAAAAACCGCAATAAAATCGACGTAATCAAAAATGCTAATTCCAGTAATGATTTTTTATGTAATATTAAGCTGCAGAATGTTTTCCCAAAAAATATTTAATAAAAAGAAAAACTTCAATATTATTGTTATACGTGACTACATGCTAATCTTTTTATGCTTGGTTCAGTGCCTTGGACAGTTTTTATCTTACAATCTTACATGACCCATCATTCTTAACTATTTTTATCTTATAATTTTACATCAATCTTATATGGTCTATTAATTGTCGGTTATCTTTCTTAACCAATTTATCTTATGATATTACATGATCTCTTAATTATTGGTTATCTTTCTTGACTATATTTATCGTACGTTCTTACATAATAGAAATGTTCTATTAATTAATTGTCGATTATCTTACGATCTTACAACATCCATGTGGTCGAGATTTTTTATTAGTTGATTGGTTGGTTAGCTATTCATTACCAATCAACAATCGATCAGATTATGCAAAGAAAAAAGTGTGTGAAATTGAAATTAAATTAACTAATTGATGATACTACTAATAATAATAATTTGTACTATTTTTACTGGTTTCGTTTACATCAAACCATTAGTTGAAGCAAATAACCTTTTAAAATGAACTGCAATTTTCAGGACCGAAGTTGATAAATATGAAGAAATAGTTTTCAAGAAATTTGTGGGCGATGGTGTGACCAAGGAAAAAAAGGGTTCAGATTGGTGATATGATACAAACTGTAAGATGATTAAAAACCAAACTGCTTGAAATCTTTATGATGTTAAATTTCTCATTTGTTTTTTTTTTTCCAACTCACATTAATTCAATTGACCAAGGTTTCTTTTGTTAATAATAATGACAATGCCAAAAATAATAATGACGATGACAATAATAGCAGCACAAACAATTATGATTATTTAACGCGTATATATATGACTTAACTTTTGGGCTACTCTTGTCAGCTAATTGCAAGAAACAGATACTCACAATAATTTGGCGATTGTCAATCAATTAGTTTACGAATTTACTTTGGTTCTCGATTTACTGCCCCTTTCTTGTACGTGAATCTGTAAACATACTTAATGATATCAGATGACTGTAAATAAATAAAGATGGCCGGCTCTTTTACAAAGCTCAAGCGAGGGCTTCCTTTTATTCACTTGCGATCAATTTATTTCAGTCGTTTGCCTTGTTTATATTTATTGTCCGATTGCAAACTCACTGGTTTATTTACAAACAACAACTTAATATTAAGTAGCTTTCTTGTTTAACAGCCTTACATTCACGATCATTTTTGCTAGAAACAAAAAACAAAAAGTAAGAAGAAATATTTGACAGTATGAATGTAAATTTGATTGATTATTCAACACATTGTTCATTCATTGTGTATAATTCCATTATTATGTGTAACAATCAATCATAATTTCACTTTATATTTCTCCGCCTTCTTTAGGGTTACAAAAAGATGGATTAATTATATTATTGACATTGATGATATGTTACATCATTAGAGGTGTTTATGATTTATTAATTGATTATTTGCTCTAGATGCAATTCATTCAAAAACAAAATGCATAATTTAAATGAAATGATGTGATGAATGGCGAGCGGTATCAGAGAAAAGGATTACTCATGCAAGTTAATAATATATAACTTTACATGTACACACGTACATATTTATCAAAAAATTTATTTTTGGAAAATTTGTGAAAATTAATAAGTCATGAAAACAGCAATCACCATCATGCCTTTGTCAAATCAATTAATGATGCAATCATGATTAAATAATTTAATATAATTGCTATATTATATAAAAATATTTTTGTCTCCAATTCGAATATATTTGTAAAACTAAAGATAATACAAGAAAGGGTTGTAGTTTTTTATGCAAAAAATTTCCTTATTTGTATTTCTTTGGTCAGGATTGACAAGTTTTTTTATAACGAACTGAACATAGACCTTCCATCCAAACTTAGCTTAATGTTAAAATTAAAAAAAAAAATAAAAAAAAAAAAAACATAACAGGTGAAATTGAAATTGATCAACAAAAATTTCTAGAATTGATTTTAATTTCCAAATCCTGACTGCATAGTAGTTACTTAAAATGTATTATTATTATACTATCAATCATTAATAATAATTAATAATTACCAAATTTGTAATTGGTCATCAAAGTTTAACAAAATTTACATTTACAATTACAACTAAAAAGGTATTGTGTTGTTTTGAATATCAAATATCAATAAGTAAAGTTTAATTAGTAAAATGATAATCTAATTTACAAATTACCCTTTTTTCCCGGTATTATGTAAATCACACAAAGAAATGAATTGACCGCGTGAATGAATTTATATTTGGACATTATAATCATATCGTTACTATTATATTAAATTAAAAATGAAACGGTACGCATTTAATGGGGCTGTACAACAAAATCATTTTGATATTTCAATGCGTACATGCATGATTTATTTATGCGATTAACCAAATCATTGTTTTTCAAAACACGCCTGAATGTGACCAAAAAAGAAATGAACGAAAACTATTTAAAAGGCAGTATAGCGAAGTTATTGTTACTTGTCGTTTTTGGTGATTTTTATCATTAACACAAAAAACTACATACTACATTTTATATTCCAATCTAACAGCTGGAGATTCTACATGGGTTCCGTTAATAAAGGTAGATATATTTTATTGTATTTCTGTTTTAATACAAAAACGAATTTTTTTTTAAATAATTAAAGTTAATGTAGATAAAGTGTGGGTTCTTTCTATTGATGGGGGAGGGATTCGAGGTTTAATTCCACCCATGATACTTGAAAAACTTGAGAACAATGTATCTGCGAAACTAGGTAAAGATATTCGAATTGCTGATATGTTTGATATGGTGGCCAGTACTTTGACAGGTTCTATTCTTTCTTTGGGGCTCACGGTGTCAGAAGAAAAAACAAAATGTCCAAAATATAAGGCATCTGATCTGGTAGAAATTTATAAGAAAGATGGGAGTGAGGTCTTTAAAAAGTGTCACTTTTTGGAGAGCACTGAAATAACTATTAAGATGAAACAAGATCCTGTAGTTGGCATATTCGATTATGCATATCTTAATACCATAGAAGTAGAAGAGCCATCAACAACAAATGTGACAATCCAACAAAATTCGGAGAAGGTGGGGGGTATATTATTGATGATTTTACTCCTAAAGGATTTCAAAAGTTATTAAAGGAAAAGTTTGGAGACAAAACACTTAAAGATACTTTAAGTGATGTGCTAATTCCAGCTTATAACATAACTGAGACAAAGGTTGCTTACTTCACCAACGATTCTAACTCTCCTGACTCTTATAAAATAAGTGATGTGATTCTAGCTAGTAGTGCTGCGCCTACTTATTTTCCAGCCAAAGAAATAGATAACAATTTATACATAGATGGAGGCGTTTTTATGAATGATCCGGCTTTTGAAGCTTATTTGGAGGCAAAAAAAAATTTTCCTCAAGCAAAAAACATTGTTGTATGTTCTCTAGGAGCAGGATATTTTCAGGGGGCGTTAAAACAACTGGCAACAAGTGGATCGTTTCGTTGGGCGGCTCCACTAATTTCTTGTATGATGAATTCATCAAGTAAACTTGTTGGAAGTTATTTAGAAAATTTGAAAACTGAACAAGATTTTAATTATTATCGCCTTCAATGTGATTTAACAGAAGAAATTCCTTTGTGTGATATAAAACCGGAGATGCTTGAAAAACTCGAAAGTTATGCTAATAATATTATTGGGGGCACTGAATTTGAAAATCTGGTTGATGATATTGTTAAGGATCAGGAAAACTAAAATGATCATAAAAAATACACGGTTGAGTATCTTAAAATTTATTTTATAAGATTATTTGACCTACATACAAATTTAACTTTAGTATAATGACTAATCAAAAAATTAATTAATTACTAAGGTTTCTGGTCCAAACTGTTTTCTCAAAGCCCAAACTAGTTTGGGCAATTTGGGCTTCTCAACATTTTTTA